ATAAACATAGCAGAGAGAGAGAGAGAGAGAGAGAGAGAGAGAGAGAGAGAGAGAGAGAGAGAGACAGACAGACAGACAGACAGACAGACAGACAGACAGACAGACAGACAGACAGATAAAAACAACGAGAAACAGAGGCAGAGAAGGACAGGTAAACGAAGAGAACAGAAAAGGAGGAAGACACAGCCACAGCCAACGCGAAGCTGAGGCTGGCTCTCAATCTGTTTCTGTCTATTATCCTGTCCTTCTGTTTCTGTCTCTGTTGCCTCTGTATCCCTGTCTCTGTGCCTGGCCTTCTGTCTCTGTCCTTGTATCTCTCTCTCTTCGGAGTTGAGGTTCGTTCTGCCCGCTGCTGTTACGCATGGCAGTTTATTTTTGCATTAAAAATAAGCTGCCGTAGGTAACAGTAGCAGGCGTCATCACTGCAGTTTGCTGCTCCTTTGCTGCCTCATCTCCTTCAATTGTTTCAGTGGAAATATGCTGCGTCTACATACATTGCTTCGTTTGCTGGCTTTCACCACAGCCTTTGTAGAATATATATAAAATATATATTGTACCACATGCCTGCCCATATATTATAAAAAATACATAAAGTGCGGATCAAATATGTACATATGCATATACATGCATTATATAGGCGTATATACAAATGAACATATTTGTAGATTGGGCATGCAGATAAATGCCGCAAACAAATTAAACAAATTACAAACTGCGAAATATCCCATTCGAGTCTGGATACACCAAAAAGTGAGGCGGCGACTGTTGCGGCACCAGGTGCTGCAAATGAGCAGCAACAGCCGCACCTAGAGCAGCAGCAGCAGCAGAACCTAGAGCAGTAGCAGCAGCTAGACGTGGTGCACAGAGAGGAGGATGGTTTGTGAGGGGTTTGCGGGGAATTTTCTTTGAGCAAAGGACATGAGGCGTTTGAACATTTGAATATACTTTCGGGTTGTTTCATCATTTAGAATATGCGCCACCTGCGATGTGTTCAACTTTGAACGGCCAGCACGTTCATGAATCCCCACCATCGTCACTCCCATTGGCCACGCAGCATTTCCTATAGCCAGCAACATGAACCTGCACATACACCCCAACATAAATACCTGAAACGCGTCGACATACACCTAACTATATTCACCTGAAACAAGTAAGCATACACCGAAATACATACACCAGAGGCGTTGACATACACCGAAAAACAGATGCACAAAGACATACACCGGAGAATATACACCTGAAGCATGTATGCATACACCCAGTCGCTTGCACCGAAAGTGCAGAAGCATACACCGAAACACATACACCTCGAAAGCATGGAGATACACCGATACATGTACACCTGAAACGCATGTACACCGAAACAGATACACTTAGGAACACCTATACATCTGTGCAAAGAAAAAGCAGATGCACACAAACAACCACCAGGCGCGGTGTATGTACACTCGAGTCACATACACATAAACGCAGTTGTTCTTCAGCTGTACATGTACCGCAATGCAAAAGTACAAACCCAAACACCTGCATGGATCCCCCCATCACCCTTAATGCATCAAGCGTACACACAGCTGATACGATGACAAATACATGAAGACAAACGTGGCATGAATACAAGACGAGAAAAATGCAACAAACGCGCGGACTCCTGATGCTAAGGCATCAGATGTCCACAACAAACCCAACAAAGCCCCAAACACACCAAGACCGCATGCCACACGAGAAGCCATGAAAGACTCAAAAGACAAACTCATTACAAAGACACTCTAAACAGATGCCAGCTCCTACACAAACAAGCAAAAAACAATTAGAAGGCAAAAACAAACCGCCAAGGAAGGGAGACAAAGTGGGGAAACCCAGGACAGCCCAACAGAAAAGGAAACGTTAATAGACAAGTGCACATCGTTCGACAAAAAGCCATGCGAGTACAGCAGCAGGAGCAGTTGCAGCAGCAGCAGTTGCAGCAGCAGCAGGAGCAGTCGCTGCTAAGGGAGCAGTTGCGACAGCAGGAGAGGCAGCAGGGTATCTGCCGCGTGTTAGGATTTGCGGCTGCCTACGCTCCGTGGGCGTCTCGATATCTTCTCTCATCGCAGAGCTGGACGATACTAAACAATTTCTCCAAAATGTCCGCCTCAAGGCTGCACAAAGCAACACAGAAAAATGCAAGCGCAAATGCAGGCCCACCCACACTCACACATGCCTGCAGAGGAAGGCTGGAGACAGACTCGGAGAAACAGCAGGACAGAGAAGCAACACATTGGGAGAAGAAAGGAGACAGCAGAAAATACCCACTCTCGTTGCTTCAACTTCTTGAAAAGGGGTTTCAAGTCCTTCTTCGTCTGGCGATGCAAAGCCGTCTGCTGCCGCCCCTCAGCCGTGGCCTTCTCATCCTCAGAGCTGCACATACACCCCAGCTAGCCCAGCAAGAATATCCAAATTTAGCTGCGAATGCATTTGCATGTATGCACACATATGCACATACATGTAAAGCATATGCATGCATTCATGCATGGATACATATGCATAAATGGGTATATATATATATATATATAT